AATGATGATGATGATGATGATGAGGGTTAATGGTGATGAGGGTTAATGATGATGGTGAGGGTTAATGGTGATGATGATGATGAGGGTTAATGGTGATGAGGGTTAATGATGAAGAGGGTTAATGATGATGATGATGATGAGGGTTAATGGTGATGAGGGTTAATGATGATGATGATGAGGGTTAATGGTGATGATGATGATGATGATGATGATGAGGGTTAATGATGAAGAGGGTTGATGATGAGGGTTAATGATGATGAGGGTTAATGGTGAAGAGGGTTAATGATGATGATGATGATGAGGGTTAATGGTGATGAGGGTTAATGATGATGATGATGATGATGAGGGTTAATGGTGATGATGATGATGATGATGATGATGAGGGTTAATGATGAAGAGGGTTGATGATGAGGGTTAATGATGATGAGGGTTAATGGTGATGAGGGTTAATGATGAAGAGGGTTAATGGTAACAAGGGTTAATGATGATGATGAGGGTTGATGATGGTGCTTAACGACCCTCAGGTCTCACTTTAAGGAGTGCCTGGTGCAGCTGATCAACCGTTGCCATGGCGACCCCGCAGTGCTCTTCAGCGTGGCGGAGATGGGGGCAGAGCTTCAGCGCTGGGGTGTTGCCGTGCCGACCAGGAGAGCTGAGGAGGCGGAGCCAGAGTACACAGAACGCCTCCGCGCGGTCAGTAACACACACACTCACACTCACAACACCTCGTTAAATCATTAACGAATCAACTGCAGGTTGTGATGTGTCATCATCCCTTCAGCCAATCAGAGCACATGATTCTTTCTCTTTCTGCAGACTCTGACCAATAGCGTTCCTCTCAGGAAGCATCTCTGACCGCCTCCTCACCGACACACCGACCAATCAGACGGCAGCATTTTGTCTCCTTCCTGCTTCCGTTAGTGATGTCATCGTCAACAATTAAGCCGGTGGTGTCTGATTGGCTCCTCGTTTGCAGTGAGAGGACGAATGAAAAGGGAGGAAGACGGATCAAGCAGCCGATGATCTTCTCTCTCGGTTTCTTGGACTGATGTTCACTTTAATGAGCAGATGTTAACGAGCGGATGTTAATGAGCTCGAGCTGATGGTAACGAGCTGATGTTAACACGTTAACGAGCTGATGTTAACAAGCGGATGATAACGAGCTGATGTTAACTTTTAGTATTTAAGTGTCTGTCTCTCCCAGTGTTAGCAGCAGTTAGCATGTGCTAACCCAGATAGTCTTTTGCAGTTGTTACTCTCCTTAAGGAAATAATTTAACGCGGGGGGGGGTTTATTCATTTGCTGTGTATATATATATATATGAAATAAATCTTGAATGGAACAAATGTTTATGTTCATTAATTACTATATCTATGACTTTATAAAGTAAGGGTACTATATAAAGGCCCCCGACTGACTGTTTTAACCCTTCCCTTCCCAGTAACAGAAGTTGTCCAGTTTTTTTTTTAATCATAAACTTTATTATTCACAAACGTTACAAACAGACCATGCACCTCATGCTGTTTTACCCAGAATGCACTTGTTCAGAGTGAGGGCGCAGCGTCGTCTCTGATTGGACAGAAGCTGTGGATCTCCTGCAGCAGCCGCTCAGCTAGCGCCGGGCTGTTAGCCGCTAGCACCCGGCGGGACATCAGGTCCACCGGCCCGCCTGCACACATAGCATCTGTTAGCTTAGCATCTGTTAACTTAGCATCTGTGTGTTAGCGTAACTCCTCACCCTGCACGTCCATCAGCACGCCCCCCGCCTCGGTCACCAGCAGAACCCCCGCAGCGATGTCCCACACGTGGATCCCAATCTCATAATACGCCTCCACACATCCAGAGGCCACCAGACACATGTTGATCGCTGCAGTTCCTGCTCCACGCACTCTATACGCACACACACACACACACACATATATAACTCACAATAAAAATGCATTATGTCACGTTGTTCGATACTCACAGTATAACATGTATGTGGTTTCGGAAATTGAGACTCAATAGCTTCTGTCAATTAGGAGCATTGAGGTCACCGAGGTCCGGACCTCGGTCATTTTTTACAAGCTGTGTATATAACAAAACTTGTGAAATAATTGCACTAA